ACAATCACGTCCGCTTAATGAAAAAATGGAAAGCAGAATCCATAATTGAGGTTCATGTAATCCTTTAAAATGTTGATAGGAAAAAAAAAGTTTTGAATATAATGCTGAGAATAAAAACAAAAACATTTCTTTGCGATAATTTCTTACCTTGTAAAATTTTGTCTATATTTACATCTTGTTGCATGGCCGCTTGAGTGAAATCACTTATTATAAGAAATGGTTGATTCGCATTCAAATTACCAACAGGTTCAAACTAATTAAAGGTATGCAAAAATAAAAGATCTTAATTAGAATTTAAATTCGCGTTCTAAAAAATATTTTTGGTTCCAAAACTTACACATATTTTATAGAAAGTCCTAACGATATCTGTTGAATTATTAAATATCTTTTCAATGATATTTTTAAAACTTCTATTTTCAAATAATTCCTATATGAAGAAAAATCAGTAATTTTATCAAATGCACATGCAACTATTTCGAACGGGAACTTACCTGAACTTTCTTGTTAAACATCTTAAAATATTCCTTATCATCAATAACAGAATTATCTATGGTCAAAGTATTTATAGCAAATTGGGTGAATATTTCAATCGTATGTGGGCGTCCAACATTAATATGAGAATAAGAATTTCGGGACAAAATGTTACTGGGGAGATCGGTGAATATGCTCTGTAGAAGATAAATAGAGATTTTCTTAAAAAATAAAAAAATTAAATGAAATTTGATCAATTTAATAAGTGTGTTAACTTACCAATTTCCGAGTAATTCCAATCAATGCCATAGGACTATTATTACTAGTAGTTATATTAAAGAAATTGTACACGAATGGTTTGGTACAATTCTTCACAAATTCATCGAAATTATAAATAACGATGATGGTAGGTCTTGTTGCTTGGTTTCCTGATTTAAACAGATCAAATACTTCAAGATCCGTTTGCTAAGAATAGAGATATTAATATTAACACCATCCAATGATTTTAAAGGACTTTGATTCGCGTTAATACTCACATCCTGTCTAATATGTATACCTAACTGGCGAGTAAGTTGTCTACGTGCTGTCGTGTCATTAGTTTGATATAACCCGTTCAAGTATACGATACAAAAATCGTCATCGTACTTTTCAGACAATTCTTGTAGAACCTTGTTTACAAGCTTATCATATACATAAAAAAGATAATCGTTTAAAAATTCTATTCGGAAAGTACAAAACGAGGTCACGTGATATTTACCATTGTTTTCCCACAACCAGACGGGCCAATAAGCATGCAAGTATTACTTTCGCCAAAATCGACGGTTCTATTTAATAAATCATATAATTCTCTAAAAGGAGAAATAATCTTATTTAATACCTTTCTTTTTTTTTTAAAAAAAAAAATAAAACACATACTTGTACTTTTTCTCTAAACCTACAAGTGTTTGTGACGTTGCATGGCCAGATAGTCTTTCTTTAAGGGATTTGCGTGTCTTTGCAATACTTTCTTCTGACCACGTTTGCTTTATGTTATTCATCTTTATTAATTAAAATTTTGATGTCTCAAGGTTAGGGATGGGAACGATCCGATCCAGTCATAGGACCGGTTTTATACCAATCTTTTTTGGGACGGATCGACAGGATGTATCATAGGATTCCGATTTATCAGCCAATCAAAATCGTGAATGCTTTCACGTGACTCCGAATAAAGAATACTATTGTAAATGATGCGATGCGAGTTACATAAATTAGTAAAATTATATCACAAACGCATAAATCATCAAATAGTTAGATAAAACGTCCAATCTTATAAGATTAAAAATTATTTAATTAACTTTATTTAAAAATAAAAGAATAAAAATCATAATTCCAATAAATGATTTTTTCAAATTCTTTAATAAATCCTCCATTGCTACATCATCCGTTGTCTCTTCCGCATCATCCAAATCATTTTTGATTTCAATTTCATTATTTTCTTGAACGAATTCTTTTGAATTTAATCCCGTCTTCAAAAAATTTATCTTCTAAACATCAACATTTTTCTTAACTTCGCCTGAAAGTAATCTATACATATTAAACATTTAAACTAGCATCTTCACAAACATAAACTATGGTAATCATGCTTGAACGTTAAAATACTACCATTAAACAAATTGTTAGTAAAATTACAATACACATAATCACATAAATAGCTGTATTTAGTTTCCTGAAAGTGACAAAACCTTTTGGAAGGTGGCGATCAGTTACTTTATAATCTAATAAAGGCAATTTGTAAATGTTAATACTATCTTTGGATGAAGCCATAATAGAAGGATACTGGTAATGCATATGATATATCTTTGTAAATACGTCTAAAGTAATATCACAAATTTTTGAAAAAGCATTCATAATTACTTTGGTTAATATGAATATTTTATAGAATTTATAAAGTTTTATTAAAAATCAGTATCCTGTTGATGTTAAAAAATAAAGTGTGTTTCTTTCTGTAGTTATTCAGATGTGATAAATTTAGCAATACATTGTCAAATAATACTGTGAGCAATTTTTACAGGGCAATCACTAAAGGAAGCAAGTTGATTAGCAAATATATCTATCATCAGATGATTAATCTCTATCTAATGAAAAATATCTAAAAAAAATATTAATAGAGCATATTTATAATTTCTTCAATCAATTGAAGAAATAGATCACTCTAATAATGCATGCAAAATTCTTCATAGGCCAGTCAGTTTCCCTCTCAATGATGTATTACGTAAATATCAAGAACTAAAGAAATCAAATTATTTAGTAAATCAATTATATATAAAAACTGTATATTCTTAAATATATTATTAAACTTCAAATAGATAGTATTGGCAATATCAAATCACGTTATATGCATAATATGAAGAATTAGATCAATCCTTCATAGTTATGATCTTTACTAAGATGTTTATGTATTTTAAATATACTTTTATAAAAATTATTAAATAAAAATAAATTTTTTACAAAAAAACTCAAAGATACATAAAAAGAATCCATAATAGACATAAATAATATAACAAATAGAAAAATAGTTTTGTCATTAAAAAAAATCAATGTGTAATAACTTTTCGAATAAATAATTGATTAGGCCAGTCTGCAATAATAAGAATTATATTATTGAATAAATAATTTTACATTGGTTATTAATCATTCACAATTTGAAGAGCTTCATATAATCTTTTACGCTTTTCAAATTATTTTTAATGAAGTCAATAAGAATTAAGTTTTATATATAATGATTATTCTTTTTTTTTGTTAGCCAGTCATTATAATTATATAATATTAATCTATTTATCAAAATCTCATCATCAGAATCTCTTACCATATAATCTTTATATAATCATGATAAGAAATATTTAAAATTTATAATAAATTGCCTGTCAATATATCTTAAAATCAATTTACTATCAATAATCTTTGAATTGATTATTCTATTATATAAAATCGTTGGTATAGAATATGGATTAATTAAAATCGTGATCATATAAGTTGTCAAAAATATATTAATAGTATTAGCTTATCTCTAAATGTAAATATTATGATAATTATCAATATTCAATATAAAGCTGTTATTCAAATATTTTTTAAGAGAGTTCTCAACATATCCTTATGTGTATCTGACATTTTCTTCTTTTTATGATCTACTATTCTTGCTATAATGGATACATTAAGATTTGCTATCATGTTCAGGCCTTTATTACTTATATTCACTGAATCTAAATAATATACAAAGTCAACCTTAAAACAATTAATTTTAGTATTATTCAATGAAGCGAGAAGATAATATATGAGTACCATAATCTCTTTATATGCTCCATTATTTGTTTATTGTGTTTGAGCTGCTAAATAGAGTTGATCAAAGAAATCAGTCAAGTGCAGTTTAATTTTCTAAAGTATTCTTCACATTTCATCTAATGCGTAAATAGGATTTTCTTTTCTTGAATGCTCTCTTTCATAAGGATTTTTGCCATCACTTTAATAGCTCAAGTAAGGTTATCATTCATATTTGCCTTTTTTTAAACTACGTCTAAGACATTTTTATTCATAGCTTCTTTATTCACAACTTTTGCTCTCTTAGTACCTCTTTTTAAAGGATTTTCTACAAGCTGTATATAATAAATATTACAAAAAATACTACCCTCATTTATTAAATTATTCCTTAAGGCTTCTCTCTATTTTCTCCCTTTAATTAACAGAATTTGATCAACTCAGCAGCTTGGCATTCTATATAATGCTTATTTTCAAATATGTTTTTAAACAGTTAATAGTAACATAAAGGTTGTGGGATTTAAAAGGATTCAATATATATTATAAAAATACGGTAAGAAAGCTTCAAATTTGCTTAGGCATTTTACCTACATTTCATTTGAAGAAATGCAGAAGGTTGATCCCTCAAAAAGTATTATATACTGTATAAAATAAGTCGTGTAACCGTTTTCCTTATTTGGGACGGCCTCCCTTGTTATCATAGGATCGGTCTTTTTTAACGGTCTTATAAAAGATGGTCTTATCGTCTTATCGATCGATCGCCCTTAACCTTTATTGATAGACATGTTCCTTAGACATGTTCCTTAGCTTCCACCCATTCTCAACCTTCAGACAATAAAATTAAAGCTGCTTATGGATTATTGAAGGACAAATTAAATATGGAAATTTAAAAAAAAAAAGTGAAGGGTCGGAGGGTGAAATTATAGTAGTTGAAGATAATTAGCATGAATAGAATATATATCAATATATAGAGTAATAGTAATTTTGAAATTTAATAAACATTATTCAATAAAAATATTTTTTCGCGGCATATTTGTTAAAAATTTTTATTAGAGCGACGGTCTAAAGACCGGTTTCAAAGATCGGACCGGATCGGACCGTTCCCAACCCTACTCAAGGTGCATGCGCCGCCGCAAATTGTGACATCTAAGCATTGGTCCAAATTCGATCTTATCACGTGAAATGCAACAAAATTGCGAAACTGATCAAACTTCGTATTTTAGAAAATTTTGTTATAAATGTCAAGTCCACAAAAATATAACCGATATTTTGGAAAATATAAAAATTCTAAAGGTATGATGCGAAAAATGGAAAAAAAAAAAATCTCTATAAAATAGTATTAAATTATTGTTTAAACAAAATATAGCCGTTCTGGAGCCCAATATATCCGGTATATTTGTTAGTTGTATTAAAACAAAAGAATCTTTGTGCATTAGGGAATGCTATGATTTATTTGATGAGGTAGAAATTTAAATAAACATAAACAATATATATATATATATATGAAATCACACGAAAAATATTAAATCATTTCGTTTTTAATAGTACGCGGATAAGATTTATAAGTCTACGGATGAAAATCCTAGAGTTGATGAAGGAGGATCAGATAAAGACGATGTGGAAACTTCAATTGCTAAAGAAATTGCCCAAATGAAACGACCCCATAAATCGCGTCGTTTTGCATCAATACAAACTGGAGCTAATTGCGGTACTTATTGTTCCTTTCTATATTTTAATCAAATCTCTCACTCATATACTAACTACTTTACATCATAAATTTGTTAGTCGTATTCATCAAGACAAATCCTCCTATAAACCCTGTTCAACTCGTTCATTCTATTTTGACCGATTTGTACAATTCAGGACAAAAGAAAACTAGGTAGTAATTTCTTATTGATTTTTCTTCTTTTAATTTAATGGAGTAAAAGTAATTCATATTTTGATTATGAATCAAAGATTTTCTATGAGGATGGTTCCCATTGTACAAACATGTTACGCCAATATGAATGATATTAATAGGATGGCAGATGAAATATTGAAACCACGATTTTATTCATTAAAAGACGATCAACAAAAGATTAGGGTAAAATATATTCTATCATCTTTTTAATAACAATGATATATTATAGATGTAATATATATTTTTTTTTTTAATAAAAAAAAATATATATATAGTATGCAGTTATTCCGAATATCAGACATAATCATAATGTAGATAGAATGGAATTAATTACAATGATTGCAAAATTAGTTGGTGATCAACACATAGTAAATCTCGATGATCCAGAATTAGTGATAATCGTGGATGTGTTCAAGGTAGCTTACAATCAAATTAAGTTTTTTATCGTTGTATAATATCTTAAATTAACTATCCTTTCTTAAAAAAACAGAATATTTGTGGAATGAGTATTCTCGAGGATTATAATAAGTTGAAAAAGTACAATATAGAGAAAATTTTCGAAGAATTAAACGAAAAGAAAGGTGAGGGAAGCAGAATAGATAAAAGTGAGCAACAGGTTCCTATAGATATTTAGAAATTCAATCGGCGTCACCATTTTCATTATTATCTTGGAAACAGCCTAACATAACCAATGAGATCATTTCTTAATATTGGCAATTTTAAAACTTGATCCTTGTAAAAGAGATTGGCATTTTATCAAAATTTATTTTTTTATAAACCCTTAAATTATGATTTTTTATACATAATCAATCATCATGCAGAATTTTATACCATTTATCATTTTTAAATAAAACGTTTAATATATTATCAATATACAAAATTTTCAACTTTAATTTTTATATAATATTTAAATAAAAGGTTATTTACTATTTTATAAAAAAGTATATAAATAGCATTTAATTATCCGTTGGTATATTATATTCTTTTTTAATAAATCCAATTTCTTTTTCTTTATATTAAAATTGCTAAACAATACTTAAAGATTTAGCAAATTGTTTATTAATAAATTAAATTATAGAATATTAAAAATATGTATATAACTTCTAATAAAGGTTTTAAAATATATAGTTTTTTATATTCAAATTAAAATAATCATTCATAATAAATATTTTTAAAATTTATATTAAATAATAATAATAATTTATATTTATATATTTTTTAAATTTTTAGTTTTTGGTATAAATAAATTATAAATAAATATTTATATATTTGCTAATTATTTTACTTCAATTATATAATTATAATATCTGATATTAAATTTTTTAAATATATTAAAACAAATATAAAAACAAATTTTTAAAAATAATATAAATTAAAAAAAAGTTAATATTTCTTTAAATACAGTCAAACCTCCATACAATCACCTCCTATACAGTTACACCTCCTTATAAGCACTTATTTTTATAAAACAGATTTTAATATTATTAAAATACTTTTATATAATCACAAATCAGTAATAATCACTATCACATTATGTTTATAACGTATATATTATTTTTGTTAATAATTTGACTTCTTTATAATTACAAAATTTCTGATTTGGCTTAGATTAATTGATTATTTTTTTTTGTAATATATAAAAAATGTAACAAGTAAAAATGTAACACGTAAAATATATAAAAATGTAACGCATTTCAGTAAAAGCTTGAAAAATAGAATAATAATTTGTAACACTTGAAAAATAGAGCAATCCTCTTAAATCTTTTAAATTTTATACAGTTTTTACATTTGTCTTATAATGGTAGTTTTTTCATGTTGATTAATAGCTATAATGATTATTATTGTAGCTTTATCACTAAAAGCTTTTCAAGAACCCTTTCAAAGCAATTCTCAAATAACCTTTTTTTCTGTTTTTTTATAATACCTCCCAACAGACCTAACAGACCCAAACAGTACCATTCAGCTATAAGTATTAATCTCAAAAAATAAATTTGTGAATAGTCATAAAATAATAAAAATAAAACACATTCATAAATTGCAGATTATTTCAATAAAAAAGACTTAACTTTAAATATTGAACTCAACTCTGTATCAAAAATATTGAAAAAAAGTGAAAAGTGAATCTCTGTAATAGAAGAAGGTTCCAAGGAAATTTTTAGATATAAAGGAGTCAAATTTCCAGAACTTGATCATGCTATAAATTTATAGATAAAAAATGTAATGCAAATAGGATTATTCTAACAGATTTATTAATAAAAGAAAAGGCAAGATTTTTTGTCAATACACTCAATATACAAGAAAATGAGTGTATATTTTCTAATAGTTGATTATATAAATTCAAAAAATGTAATAACATTTGTAAATATCATATATATAAGAAATCAAAAAGTGTGTCATTAGTATCACTTTCAGAGGAAAAAGCAAGGTTGCAATTAATTTAAGCCAGTATACTTTTGATAGAATTTACAATATTGATGAAACTGTAAGTTTATTTTATTTTATTTATATGTAATTTTATTTATATTATTATTTTTTAAACTAATATATAATTTATTATTATAAAAAGCCTTTTCTATTAGATGTTTCCTAACCAAACCCTTTCTACTAAACCTATTTCTAACCAAAAAAAGACAAGTTAAGAATCACTATACTTCTTGGCTCTAATGCAACAGGAACAAATAAACTCAAATCATGGATAATTAGTAATGCTAAGCATCTAAAATCACTTTTGAAAGTTAATTTAAAATGCCTTCTTATTTACTATTATAGAAATCTGAAAGCATGGATAAATTCTTTAGTTTTTGAAGAGGTATTTCGTAAAATAAACAATTATTTTAGAATATAAAATAAAAAGATTTAGCTCCTAATTGATAATGTTCCATCATATTTCAATCTATATAGTTCATCAACTTTAGAAGTTGAACAAGATAATCAAGATGAAGACGGTGATAGTAAAGTTAGATTTGCAGGTAGTAGTTCGAGTGGCAGTTGTGGTGGAAGATCAAGAAATCATGGCAGAGGATCAAAAGGTTATTATAGAGGATCAAGGAGTCATGACAGAAGATTAAGAGGTTATGGCAGAGAATCAAAAGGTCATAGCGGAGAATCAAAAGGTGATCATAATGGTGAATTAGAAGGTTATAATGATAAAGAATCAAAAGATCACAGTAGTTATAGTGGTAGATCAAATATTTTTCAACAGCAGCTAACTCATATTGAAGTTGTTTTTTTCTCCAAACACAACAAGCCATCTCCAACCATTTGATGCTAGAATAATTGCAAATTTTAAGAGTCATTTCAAGAGAAAATACTGTTGTTATATGTTAGATCTTTTTGAAGATGAAAAAGATATTAACAAAGAGAAGATTAGTATTAAAGAGGTAATAAACTATATTGTAGAAGCATGAGATTGTATAATTGAGAAAATAATTTAAAATTGTTAGAAAAAAACTGGGATTTTTCCTTTATTTAATGAAGATGTACATGATGTAATATAAACCTAAGAAGAAAGAACTGAAAAAGAAGATGTAGATATTAATCAAATGATTATAGATCTTGATACAAATAATTCTTCTGCAACTTTATTGGTAGATGCATTGAATAATTTTTTTAATGACTTAGAAAGAATACTAACTGAAGATATTTTAGATGAAAATGACATTATAAAATTTATTAAAGAGGAAATACATAATGATAATAAAGTAATGAAGATAGTGATTTCAAAAAAGAACAAATGCCAATATCTTTAAGCGATGCTCTCAAATCTCTATAAACATAAATCACATTCTTTAAGCAATAGCAAACAGATGAGTTTTGTATAGCAAATATAAAAATTTTTAATAAATATTTAAGATAATTAAATGGCTTAAATTACAATCTCAGAAGCAAACTTCCATTACAAATTTTTTTTAGCAGTTAATTAATACATAGTTTATATGACATTTATATAGTGTTATAATATTATAGTATTTACAGTTCTTTACAATAAAAAGGGAGAAAACTACTAAAAAATTTTTTTTTGCTTTATAAGCTAAATATTATTTTTTTAATAAAATAAGTTCAAATTTAACATTAACTTAAAAAAAATTTTTTTGGTAGTTTTTTCCCTTTTTATTGCAAAGAGTCCATATAGGCAAATAAATAAAATAAAAAAAAAAATCAGAGATTTATCTTACTAATATTAAACTTATTTACCTTTCACCTAATACTACTACTCATCTTTAGCCTATAGATGTAGAAATTATTCATAACTTTAAAGCTAAATATAAACATGAATTTTGTAATCATATTATTAACCAATTTGATTCTAGAATAGATCACATAAAGTAAATTGTAGATTTATTAAATTATGTTTATTTTTAAATAATAAATAATACAATTTATAATTTTTATTAAAAATAAATTAAATGTCAAGAAAGCTATTGATTATATAGCTAAGGCATAGGATAATGTTACTTAAATAACAATTTGAAACTGCTAGATTAAAACAGAAATTCTTTCATCTTCTAATTTTATTGTAGATGATATTAATATGCAAGATTTTGAGATAGATAATGAGTCATATGAAATTGATATTGATCATTTATCAGAAGTTAATAAATTAAAGAAATTTTTTCAGATGTTTGATCATAAAATTCTAACTGAAGAATATCTAATTAATGATCAAATTATTAATTTAGTATAAGATAAAGCAGAAAGTATTGAAAGTGATGATGATGTTTTAGATAAAAAAATACCATTAGTAATAGCAAGAAAAGGTATTGATGCAATTAAAACATTTATTAATTATTTTCTATAGCAAGATGATCTAAAATTTAATGTTGATGATTTGCGTATTTTTTGAAAATATTTACGAATTGTTAGAATTAAAGCTGTTAATTCAAAAAGTTAAAGTATACTTAATAATTTTTTGAGGAATAATTAGTTTGTAATCTTTATAATATAATAGGACAATAATAATTATAATATTTAATATAATTTTGTTTTGAATAAAGAGGCTTGCATATACAAATTTGTATGCATTTTTTGTGTACATGATCGTGTAAGTAAAAAATATATATTAGGCTTAAGTTTCTTGAGGTAGGTGGTTGGGGTAGAAGAAAGGATAGTTTTTTTTTTTTGTAAATGTAATTTCATATCATAATTTTTGTAAAATATAAACAATTTTAGCTTTATTTTATATAAAAACTTTTTTTGATTTTTTTTTATATATTGATAATATAAATAATTTTACAAATATAATCATATCAATAAAAAATTTTATTATATATGTGATTATATAGCAAAACCCTTACTATAAATACATTTTACTATAATCTTATCATTTAGTGATTCTGAGCAGTGTAATTATAAAGGGGATGACTGTATTTTTTTAAACTAAGGTTTTCATTCGCTCGCTCTAATTCAAGCTTGAGAAAATTGATCTTTTTGAGATCATCTATTACAGATATATTTATTTGGGTCAGCTTTTCTATCATCCTTCTTATTATATCTAAATTATGATATATATACTCTAAATCTATGTCTTCCAACTTACCTTCCAATTTACATACTTTAGTTTCAAGAGAGAGAATTTTAACCTTATCAACAGACAAAGCTTTCTAAACTAAAGTTAACTCTCATTTTAGTATTTTAATATTTAATTTAAGTGATTTAATTTTAGTGATATATTTGATTTTAAGCTCACGTTGACTTTCAGAATGAGATTTTTATTCAAAAATAAGTTAGAATCTAACTTTAATACTAGACGTATTTAAGTGATTAATCTTATTTCTAATGTCAATATAGGTTTGCTGAGACTTCTTTTTTTATTCTGAATACTTTATTTTTCAGCCTGCAATTTTTTGTTGAAATCAGTAATTTTAGAGTTAAAATCAATAGTGGTTCTTAATTTTTTTTAAGCTCTTGCTTATATGTACTATCCAGCCGATGTCCTTTATTTTTTATATCTTTCAATGTATGTATATTGAACATAATTTTAGTATAGTTATATAGCAGGAAAAAATACGCAGAAAAATATCTAAAACACTTTATTATTTTTATGAATACTACTGATATTACTGTATTACTAATATTAGCATATTATACATAATATTATATATACTACTGATACTATCATATTACTAATACTAGCATACTACTGATACTACTGATATTACTAATACTACCATATTACTGATATTAGCATAATACCAGTATTACTGATATTTTTTTATACATTTTTTATTTATAGTAAAAAAAATTTCTAGGGTTAGCTACTAATATGATCATACCTCTATTTAAAATACATATTAATTCTAGAGCTAGTTATTTGTCTCCTATAGATTACAAAGATATCATACAATACTGAGATATAAAGCCTAAACCTTTAGCTCAGCTAAGTAAAAAATATAAAATATTAAATAGTCGTTTATATCAAATTCAGAGAGGATATGAGTTTAATAGGATTTAATGAAATGATGTAGTAATCCCTAAATACAAATATTATAGATAAACAGAATGAAGCTAATTTTTAAAATAAATACGACTTTACAATTACTACACTAGAAAATGTGATACACAATACTGAAGTTGAGCCTAGTAAATCTACTGATCCAGCTTCAGAACGAAATTATACTTTAGGTAATAAGGTAAAAAGAATTGAAGAAAAAAAGTTAAAGTCTAAATTCACATTAGCTTTGCTAGCATCATCTATTGAAACTCAGCCAATCTCAGCTTTAAAAAAGAATACAAACAATATAGATGCATGCATCACGAACTATAACTAAGTATTTATTAAGTATTTATTAATTACTCTAAAAGTATTTATTTTAAATACTTATCAAATAGGTTCCAATAGACCTTATATTCAATAAGTATTAGCATTCTGTTGTAATTATCTAATATCATGTATTGTTTTAGCATTATAATATAGTATAATTTTGATACTTATATAAAGTATTTATAATACATTATTAATAATATTATTTTATAATATATATTTAATTAAAAGCTTTTATTATATATAGATTAAATTATACAATAATTAAGATTGTGATTTTTTTGCAACTAAAGTATCTTATGACTAAATCTTGATTAGGTAAGTTAATTATAATTATATCTTTAATTTTAATTATTGATTTGTAATGTAATAGGATTGGATTAATAAATGTGACGCAAAATATTACAGATCTAAATGTTAGATATATCGGACATATTAGATATATTTGATTTATTTGTTATATCCATCTATGTAATAATTTAATATAAATAGAGGGCCATAAAATATGTAAACAGTAGTTTGCTTTTAGTCCACTTCTAGTTTTCCTTTAGTTTTGCTTTTAAATACACATCTAGTAGTTCTTGTAGAGACGCCTGGCCTAATATCTCGCTTAGTACTTTAACTCTTTTGATTTCTTTTATTCTTTCTTATTTTATATATATATTATTATTATCTTTTATTTTATTTATCGTCAATAAATATATTGTTATACCTTTGAATCAATTGAGTTGCCTTGCTTCTAGTCTTGCTGTGAATATACTACTGTGTAGATTATAAATCTTGAGTAAAATTGAATTAAGTCACTACGTAAACTTAAAAGAATCACCACTCGAACATCCCGTTTAACAGTCGCAATTCACAAGGATTGCACATTAACAGTAAGATGTTCGAAAAAATGGTTAATTCATATATCTTTTAAAGAAAGAAATCAAATTCAATTAATAAAAAGAATAATTTTTAAAAAGTATAAATAACCTTATTCATTTCGATTAAATATGAACTCTTTTATTATATTATAAAAATATCAAATATCAAAATTAATACTTATAAATAAATATAAAAATAAATATTACAAAAGTAAAATGTAAAAATACTTACAAATCTTTTATTCATAATATTTTACGATTTGAAACCTGCATTTTTTCGAGAAAGTAGTTTATTCATTTCATAACTTCACTTGAAATTATATTGATTCTTTTTGATGGATCAAGATAGTTTAAAACAACAGCCATTCCAAATGCAATAGAGTTTTTTTCTGTATTTAGGCTGGTAAAAACACAGTCAATTATTAGGTTGAGGTAAGTGTAATGTAGGTTGTTATTAGTATCAACGGGTTTGTTTAATTTCATATAACATTTGTGTGTGATGCTAGCATTTTTGAATTTCTGTTCTTCATCATGCGTAACCTGTCAATTTTCTGTTTTAGGCTTCACAAAATCTAAAAATTTTACATGAATAGCATCTTTAACGCATTATATAATATTACTTTATGCTTAGTATAAGAATTGCTGAGCCTATCAAAAATGTAAGTGAAATTAAATAACTCATTACGAATAATCATCAAAATTTACTTACTAATGAACGAACATGTTTATTGAAGAAACGTTTTCATCTGCCATGTTTTATTTTACTTTAAAATTTTTTTTTTCTTATATCTAATAACGTATCATAATATACTTGCATAAGGCATTTATCACTTGGATATTAACTTTTTCAGCTACACCATAAATTGTTTGACCAATAATATCTTATCACAAAATATTATAGACAAGTTAGTGTTTTAATATGTAAATTAAAATAATAATATTTAACAACACTCACTTCAATCCATTTAGTATCGTCTTTTGTATGACCACTGAAACCAATGGCTTTTCAATCTGTATACATTTTATCAATCTTTTTCTGCATATCTTGAATCATTATAACTATTTGAAGCTATACATTTTGTATATTTTTAATTGTTAAAGCAAATCCTAGAAGAAATATGAATAAATAATAATATAATACAATTATCGTTAGAAAATAACAAATATTTAATAAACTTACGAATCCTCTTTTGTATATTTATGTCTGTATTTTCCACATCTATAAACTTTTGTTTAGAATTAGAACAGGCTGTTTCATTTCTTGAAGTAAAATCATTGATAAAATTCTCATCATCACTTGAAAGATGACCTTTTTGATCAGATAAAGTATCG